CTTTATTACAGAGATAGTTATCAACTCCTGCATACTAGGCACACGGGGCTTGTTTAAGCTCATATAGTGCCTTTTTCAACTTGCATACTCTATTTTCCATACCTAGTTCAATGAATCCTTCTGGTTGCTCAATGAATATGTCCCCTTCAAGTAACCCATTAAGGAAAGCTGATTTAACATCAAGGCGCCAAAGCTTCCATCCTGCTTTGGCAGCAAGTGAAACAAACAGTCTAATTGTGTCGAGTCTGGTAACAGAGGCAAATGTTTTTAAATAATCAATCCCCGGTGTCTGAGCATATCCCTTGACAAGCCGAGCTTTCAACTTGTTTACAAAACCATCACTATTCAATTTGGTTCTATAAACCCATCGAATACCAATGGCTTTTTGGTTTGCTGGTCGAGGAACTAAATCCCATGTATTGCTCTTTTTGATCGTATTAATTTCATTCTCCATAGCTTTCTACCAACCATCAACTTGTACAGCTTCACTGAATGATGCAGGCTCCATCAAGGCAACATGACATCTATCATAAATATCAGCCAGACTTCTAGTTCCTCTCGCTGCAACATCATCCACATCTTCATTATCTTCATCATGCTCTGCCTCTAGTTTGTCATTAGAGATTGACAAATTTTTGAGGACTCGACTTCAAGCTTGGACCAATTCCATCTTTTTCCTTCATTAAACTAGACATCACGACTGACAAAAACTTTGTTTGTTGAGACATCATATAGCCTATATCCTTTGCTGGTATCACTGAAACTGAGATGAATTACTGATCTCGATTTTTCATCAAGCTTCCCTCTTCTGTTCTCTGGAAGTTGAGCATAGGCTACACATCCAAAAATTTTCAAGTGTGCAATTAATGGTTTTGTGCCATACCAAGCTTCATGAGGAGTCCTTTTTGTAAGAGCTTTAGTTGGTGCAACATTTAGCAGATAGTTGGCTATGTTAATAGCCTCAGCCCAAAAACTCTTTGGCAACTTCTTTTCAAATAACAAGCATCATGCCATTTCCATCAAAGTCTTATTTTTTCTTTCTGACACTCCATTTTGCTGTGGATTGTAACTAATTAAGGCCATTCGGTTTTGATCTTTGAGAGTTTTTTGTGAGGGAGGTAGGTAGGTTTGTGTTGGTTTATTATTAAGCTTCAATCACTGGAAAAAAGTTTACAGGTCCCTTAAGAACTCTTAAAATGTTTTGATACCATGTTGGAGTTCTTTCTTAAGAACTCTAACATTCTTTATTATTACTGTAATTCAATGCCCTGTCTCTGTAATCACAATCACACTTCAATCTATTAAACAACAAATTTTCTTAAAAGTCACTAGGCAGCTTTATGAAGTCCATTAAAAGAAAGAGTTGCACATTAGGTTAAGAGTGTCAGATACATAGTTATGATAATATATTCTACATTTTTAAAGTTTTTTTTATATACTTAAAAGAGTTGGATCTCTATGTCCATATTCATCGAATATGTGTTAGACATGATACTTTCCTAATTTCTTTCCACTACATGAAAAGAGTCCTCTTGCATAGATCTAACAATCAATATTACAAGCTTTAAGCTATTCAATTAAGAACCAGGATGATGTCTCTCAAATTCAAGGGGCACCCAAGATTCTGAGAGTTTCTACCAAAGAAAATAGTCTATGGCAATAAAGAATTAAAGCCAATCTTAACCATAAGCATGTCATGATGGTGATTAGGATTCGATGATACCGATAGATTGATCAAGAAAAACAAACCAAGCCAAATCGTGAACAAATTAGACACTGCAGAAAATCTCAAGGAGAGAAGTACCATGGAGGTTTAGCCACTTCTTTACTATATTTTGGAGAGAATTTCTCTTGGCCACATGTAGTTTGTTGAGAGTGGTTCCTGCCTCAGCTTTTAAGTCGTTCACGGCGTTAACAGTAGAGCTTTGCTTATTATTAAGTGGCTACCTTATTGTTAATATTAGATGTTGGTTACGGTGCTTGGCCACGTTTCATGTAACGACCCAAGTCCAACCACTGATCTAGTAACTCTTTGGATATTATGATACCCAACATCCCACATCTGATATGAATATGATTGTTAAGACCTATATAACAATCTAAGTCTACTACTACAAGTAACTTGAGCTTAAGTTTTTGAAGGCCACGTGGTTTAGGCCCAAAGAGTTGTTGGGTCAGTGGTTGGACTTGGGTCATTACAAATAGTATCAGAGCTAGGTTCAGTCTTATGCGAGCTTTTACATTGCTCTGGTGAGATCTTGATCCTATGGATGTGATGTGCGGCCTTGATAAGGACATCAAGGATTTGAGTGGATGGGATTGTGATACCCAACATCCCACCACATCTGATGTGAATATAATTATTAAGACTTATATAACAATCTAAGTCTACTACTACAATGTGATGTGTGGCTACACAAGCCTTGATGATTGTTAAGACTTATAAAACAATCTAAGTCTACTACTACAATGTGATGTGTGGTCTTGATGAGGACATCAAGGATTTGAGTGGATGGGATTGTGATATCCAACATCTCGCTGCTCACACTTAACCACACTAATCTTTCTTCAGTATAATTGGAAGACTGCTATTGAATCAGCCCTTTCACAGGGGTCTTTCTTTTCGCGACTCCGCTGCTAGTTCATCTGTTTGAGTGGAGTGGAGAAAGGACAATAGGTCTTGTCTATCTTGATGGTGGTGTTATCGTATCTGCTCTTGAATAAGAATTGCTTCGGTAAGACAATCCCGCACTCTTATGCGTCCTTACTTGCCTGAATGAATAGGGGAAGGAAGGGGACGAGCGCAGTAAGAGGTCAGTGCTGCTGGACTTGTTGGGTATCCTCTTTCTATTCTAAAAGTAGTTTATCCCGTCTCAAGGTAATTTCTTGTTGATTGATACCCTAGGGGACTGAGCTACCTTGTGAGCTAACCCCCAACTCTGACTGCCACGAAAACCATCATATCCGAAAGCCCCGGCATACCATCCACAGAGGTAGGGAAGGCAATCCCACTCCACGTTTTTAGTTCTCGAAGGGCAAAAGTCTGACGTGAATCTTCCCTTCAATCGATTAACATTTCCTTCTATCATCAAATCTCTGGGCGAGTCAGAGTGACCATCATTAGGGAAAAGACTACCGACTGATTGTTAAGACTTATATAACAATTTAAGTTTACTACTACAATGTGATGTGTGGCCTTAATGAGGACATCAAATCAAGGATTTGAGTGAGTGAGATTGTGATAGGCCTTAATGAGGACATCAAATCAAGGATTTGAGTGAGTGAGATTGTGATACCCAACATCTCACATCTGATGAATATGATTGTTAAGACTTATATAACAATCTAAGTCTACTACTACAATGTGCTAAGTCTACTACTACAATGTGATGTGTGGCCTTGATGTACAATGTGATATGTGGCCTTAATGAGGACATCAAATCAAGGATTTAAGTGAGTGACCTTGATGTACAATGTGATGTGTGGCCTTAATGAGGACATCAAATCAAGGATTTGAGTGAGTGAGATTGTGATAGGCCTTAATGAGGACATCAAATCAAGGATTTGAGTGAGTGAGATTATGATACACAACATCCCACATCTGATGAATATGATTGTTAAGACTTATATAACAATCTAAGTCTAGTGAGATTGTGATAGGCCTTAATAAGGACATCAAATCAAGGATTTGAGTGAGTGAGATTGTGATACATAACATCCCACATCTCATGAATATGATTGTTAAGACTTATATAACAATCTAAGTCTACTACTACAATGTGCTAAGTCTACTACTACAATGTGATGTGTGGCCTTGATGAGGACATCAAGAATTTGAATGGATTGTTATAAGTCTATTACTACAAGTAACTTGAGCATAAGCTTTTTAAAGGTCACGTGGTTTAAGCCTAAAGAATTACTGGATCAGTGATTGGATTAAGCTCAAAGAATTGCTGGATCAGTGATCGGACTTAGGTCATTATATTTCATGTAATGGGTGGTTATCCCATACTAGGTAATAGACTTAGAATGTGCCCATCACGACACTAACTTTCTTATTTCTCTTTGTTGACTAAACTAGATTATTTTCCTTGACTTTTGGTTTGGTAGTTGCAGTTTTTAAGTAATCTATTATCAGACAAGTGTGTAAGGTTATTATGATAATCATCTTGAGTGTCTAATAAGTGGTTTTCGATATCTCTGGTTTTTCTTTTAAAAACTCTCTTTACTTAACACAGTTCCACGCCTACCTAACACAAATTGAGCCTCTCAATATCCAGCTCGATCCTGAAGTTACGTTGGCTAAAAGTTGGTGATTCCATTTTTAACCGTTTGGTTGGCAGGAAAGGTTGAAACCAACCCAAAATGGAAGAAATCACTCCACCTAAAAAAAGGGTGGGAGAAATGCAAAGAAGATATTTATGTAAGGGATGCAATGGAAAAGAAGAAAATGATTGAAATAGATGATGTGTCAACTCAATCCATTAAGATTCTTCTGCACAAGTGTTAATCTTATCCCTTAAGAAATTCAAGTCCAAAATTGGAGATAGGATAGCAGTTCAATGAAATCTTCATCCATGGGGCTAATGCAACAAAATTCCAAATGCTAGAGCCATTATTAAGTAAATCTAACTCAACTTCATAACCGGTCTTTTCTTTTCCTGGTGTTTTGAGCTGCAAGAATCCAAGAAAAGCCAACTAATCTTTATGTTCAAGGAAAGACATATTTGGAATGAGTCCAAGAGCTGGTGTTGAAGAAAAGAGAACCATAGCAGGAAGAAATAAACCCAGATATAGTTCAATACTCTGATGTTCGATGTTTGACTATCAAAACCATTGGAAATTCCTAGGATTCTCTCCAATGCCCATTATCTTTTACAAAATTCAGATGCCAAAGCTGTCTCCTTTACCCTCATTTTGAAATGCAATTAACATTACAGAACACAACAAATGCATCCCCAAATTGAGAACGAAAATTAAGATTGATCAAAGAAGACAGATAGCAGCAAATATGAAAATTTTATTCAAAATAAAGCATTACATAAAGCGAAGGCAGACATATTTAAGACTTTCAAATTTTAATTTAAAGGCCTCAACAGGGCCAGACAACACAATCCTTTCACATAAACCAAATCCAGGCCCACAGGGAGCTTAGAAACCACCACGAAGGCGCAAGACCAGGTGAAGGGTGGACTCCTTCTGAATATTGTAATCAGCCAAAGTCCTTCCATCTTCCAATTGCTTCCCAGCAAAAATCAACCTTTGCTGATCTGGTGGAATCCCTTCCTTGTCCTGAATCTTTGCCTTAACATTATCAATCGTATCCGAGCTCTCCACCTCCAAAGTAATGGTTTTCCCTGTCAGAGTCTTGACGAAAATCTGCATCCCACCACGAAGCCTCAAAACCAAATGAAGGGTCGACTCTTTCTGAATGTTATAATCAGCCAAAGTTCGACCGTCCTCGAGCTGCTTCCCTGCAAAGATAAGCCTTTGCTGATCTGGCGGAATTCCTTCCTTGTCCTGGATCTTGGCCTTCACGTTGTCGATGGTGTCGGAACTTTCAACTTCCAAGGTTATGGTTTTACCCGTCAGGGTCTTGACAAAGATTTGCATCCCACCACGGAGACGTAAGACCAGGTGGAGGGTTGACTCCTTTTGGATGTTGTAATCCGCCAAAGTTCGGCCGTCCTCGAGTTGCTTCCCAGCAAAGATAAGCCTTTGCTGGTCCGGGGGAATTCCTTCTTTGTCCTGGATCTTGGCCTTCACGTTGTCGATGGTGTCGGAGCTTTCAACTTCCAAGGTTATGGTTTTGCCCGTCAGGGTCTTGACAAAGATTTGCATCCCACCACGTAAACGGAGGACGAGGTGGAGGGTTGACTCCTTTTGGATGTTGTAATCCGCTAAGGTTCTGCCGTCCTCGAGCTGCTTCCCAGCAAAGATAAGCCTTTGCTGGTCCGGTGGGATTCCTTCCTTGTCCTGGATCTTGGCCTTCACGTTGTCAATGGTGTCGGAGCTTTCGACTTCCAGGGTTATGGTTTTACCCGTCAGGGTCTTGACGAAGATTTGCATCCCACCACGTAGACGGAGGACGAGGTGGAGAGTCGACTCCTTCTGGATGTTGTAATCGGCCAGGGTTCTGCCATCCTCGAGCTGCTTCCCAGCAAAGATAAGCCTTTGCTGGTCCGGTGGGATCCCTTCCTTGTCCTGGATCTTGGCCTTCACGTTGTCGATCGTGTCAGAACTCTCGACTTCCAGCGTGATTGTCTTGCCGGTGAGTGTCTTAACGAAGATCTGCATCTTGTTTGCCTGAAGAGAAAATCTACGGAGAAGATATCAGAGAAACTAAACCTCTCGGGATGAGAGGCACTAGGCGAATCGGGGGATTCATTTATAGCCAAACTCCTGCAACGACCAACAAATGAAATTATGACATGTAAGAGGCGCGTGGCTTTTGCCATAAATGACACGGTAACATTAATTTGTCAGTGCGCCGTTAGTCTTTTTGTTAAACGGTGTTAGGTGACCGCCTTTGGAGCGTCTTTACTGGACGGATTTTGTCCCGTTGGTGGGCCCAGGTTGTCATCCACTGGGGCCAACGGTGATCTGATTTTCCCTTAGCAAGTTGGGAAATTTATTTTAACGTTAGTGGGTTGGCAACTTTGATTTCTACCCGTTGATTTCCTGATTGTAGGTCCTTATTGCGTCTATATTCATTGCACCCTTTTAAAAGAAAAATTGGTTACTTTCTCTCCTGTCCCCCTGGCCCTTTGGTTACGAAGACGATCACGACGGAGAGTGACCTTCTTGGAAGGCCCTATGTGATTCCATTTCCAAGAATAATGATAATAAAATAAAATTGAAACCCCTTTATTTAATATGATAAATTGTATTTATTGAGAATGTTCATTTATAAATTAAAAAAATTGAACAATATATTTGATCCATTGGGTTGTGCCATTCGTAACACTTTTTGCAATTTCTTGAACCTACTTGAAATGGGCCCTTGGGTTGTGTTTCATGCCCCTTGTATTGTTAATGGGTTGGGCTTTAAACCAGGCTTTTAAATGTCTCCGTTTGGGCCTCAATCAGGAGAAAGGGCTGAAATTCTACTACTATACTCTACTAAGACCTGTATCTTCACCAGCCTGCTTGAGCATGATGTTCTTGAAGGACAGACCAAGCTCTGCAGGAAGTATCTGCTTTGAATTCCCCACTCTTGTTGTACCATTGATGCATCATGAATGTGAAGAACTCGAAGCTGGATGTCATTGTCTTGAGTACTTTCCCTTGGTAGGGAAGGTCTTGCTTGTCAACTTTCGACACCATGCAATTCCTTCACTCGCATTTTTCAAGTCACTGACAGATGCATCAGGGCGGAATCAGGATTGGGCGCCCCGCTCATACAAAGTTTAAGTTTGTATGCGTCTCCGGTTGTATATGCTGAAACCAAACCAGGAATACCCTAACTGACTGCAAGCCAAATCTTTCTTCTGTTTAATCTCAACATGTATAAGAACCTTGGGATCCTCACTGACTCGCCAATCCATAACCCATATCAGATTCATATTGCGCTTTAACCCAAACCAACCACAATGATCAGTCTCTTTTGCCCTGTTTTGGAAGTCTCATTGAACATAAGGATTGGGCAGGGTGATGGAAAGAGCTAGCAAAACAAAATTCTCATCTCTCTTATGCTTTATGGCTTACCCTAGCCAGTGACATCAACTCTTAGTTTTGCACACTTGTTGGAAGGTATGTAAGTACTTGTTAGGTCAATGATGCCTTAGTGATGATTGTGTTTTTTCTTCGTTGTTATCTGGTTGGATGAAAATTTTATCTTTTACAGTCTCTTATCAAGTAATAAAGACTTAAACGAAATAGATATCAAAAGAGGGGACGAAATTTTTGATCATATCTTGCCTCTTCAGCCCTATAGTTAAAGGAAAATGTCAGAAAAGAGATAAACTAAACAAACATATTACCTACTGCAAATGTTAAAACCGGCCAGTAGCTAGGTTACAGTACCACTGAAGATTTTAAGACTAAACAAAAGAACATGAAACTCTTTCATGATCCTCCGGTAACACTTCCATTAAAGATCTCAATGGTATCACCTTGGCCAACATGGTGCCACCTAAAGGATCGATCATCGTCCATCACATTCTGTTTATATATGAAAAAGTAACCTTCCTGCGGGAGATGGAACTGAAGCCTTTGCTGCAACTTCTGCAGTTCTTTTCTCAGCTCTGCAACATTATCCGATGCATTGACTTCCACCGGTATCTTCTTGGTCCCGCACTTGGGCAACACCATCACCTTCAGCAGCCTTTTGGCCCCAGTCGTTGCCCCTGCCGACCCTGTCCCTGAACCTGTGGGCGACGGCTTGATATTTACGTCAATCTCAGTATTATCAGTGAGCTCACAGTCGCGTAGAGATCGATGGTCCTGCAACTCCGCCCCGCTTGATTGAACTACTAACCTGTTGACAGGGACGGGTTCGATATCACGAATCTTTTCTTTTAACCGTAGGACAGTGTCGTTCACGTCCATCTCAAGGGGAACGGAGACCTTAGAGGATGGTATGTTGATCTTGAGTTGGATTGTCTTCGACGGGGAAGATTTTTCAGTCTTGACCACTTGAGGTTTGTCGGCCTCCGGGGCCACGAGGAGTTGAATGCGGGAGTTCTGGAAGATTTCACAATACTCAACATCTCGCTCATCCTGGAGAACTTGGCCATTGAAAACAAGAGTTTGTGTAGGTATAGGTATTCCCTGGTATTTCTGCACCTTTTCTTTGATTTCCAGGACAGTGTCGAAGAAACCAACTTCAATGGAGAAAGATCTGCCTCTCTGGCATTCAAAGATGACATCCATTTGAAAAGATTAGAGACTTGGGGTAGAAGGATAGAGATGAATGGAGGGGACTTCTCTAGGTTAAAAATGGTAGCAAATATCCCTTATTTATACCATAAAATCCGCAGATATACTCTTAAACAAATCTAAAATCAACATTTGACCTGGTCATTTTTTTAATTTAATTTCCACTTTTGTAGAAATAGAGAGGATCCTTGCCTATTTAAAAGGAAGTTTGATTTATGTGAATAATCTGCTGCTGTTAAAAGCTATCCATGATCTTCTAATTGGGCGATTTGAGTGGGTCGTTACTCATTAATTACTCTAGATTTTGAAGCTTTTTTAAAATGGGATTTGCTCTTAAAAAGGTTAGGATTCTTTCTTTATCTTCAATATAGGAATTAAGCAAGCTGGGCTGATTTTGCTACTATATACCATAATGATCATTATGATTTCCAGCTAGATTAATTGATTTGTTTAGAGGGAGCCAAATGAATGATCTCGTCCTATGATTGATTAAAGAATCTTGTTTAGAGAATAAACATTTATAGACTAAATTGGTTTTGGCGAACAAAACACGGTAAAATCTTCTCGTGATATCTTAATAATCATAAATTTTTATAAAAATAAATAAATAATGAATTGTCCAATGCAATTTCAATTAATATTGATACCATGTCATAAGAATATATTTCCATTTAAGATGAATATTAACTTGTAATGATAATGCCATGTCCAAATCTTGTAAATTTTGGGATTTAACCAGTGAAAAATGTTTCAAATTGTGTATCTATTCCAAGTTTTTCTCACATCACATATTTCCATTTTTATTTCCACACGTTGGGGGGTCATAGGTTAAGGTCAATCGATCAAGAAATTGCCATGGAAATGGAGCAGAAACAGAAAACATGAATGCCCAATTCGATTTATTGCATGGTCATTGGTCACCACCTCAGAAGTTTGCCATCCCTGTTATGTCACCTTCGAGCACAACTCACGAGGAAGAAAAGGGGTTGAGACTGAAAACATAACATAATATTTGTCACGTCGGTTAAAGGAGTAATAAGTTTACAGAAAATGCTATTTGGTTAGCGAGCTTTTTACCGTTTTAGAGTTTGGCCAAAATGAGCCAGCCATTGTTCCTGTCGACACACCTTATGACTACACAGGATTCAATATAAGCAATCTAATGAAATCAGGAAATCTTTGAAAGCACACGGTTAAACTAGCCGAGGCCAAACTTGACCGTAAACATCTTTCTTGTTGTATCTTCGGTCCCAAGACCACGGAATGTCTGCAAAGGAGAGAGAAAAACGGTTACATAAATCAGAAAATGCAGCTTGTATGAATTGAAGGTGGTGGGATGAGATAAAAGCTTTGCGACCTTCCGAGGAGTATGGCTTAGGAGGGAGTTCATAAGGTACAGGCAATTGAATTACTTCAGACGTCTTGCTTCCTTGCCAAGCAAGAGTAACTAGCTTCGTTTTTGTTACTTCAGAATTTCTGATTGACCCACATTTACTGCTACCCTGATTTACACAATAATAAAATCGGTTTTAACATTGGCTTCATGCAAAAACATTCCTAGCTAATTCAGCCAACAAGTCGAGAATTGCTATTGAATCAGGAATAGCCATTACCTTTGATGAACCTCCATTACCCGTACAAGAAAATTCACCACCCTCTTCCTTTACATGAGATGGTAGAAATAGCACACCCAGCTAGAAATATTCATAGAGAGGCACAAAAACATACTGTCAAAGCTTAAGTGAGCACAAAAGAAATAAAAGAGCATAAAATAAGCAAACTCAATTAATAAGAAGATCATACAAAAGTAAAATATAAAGAAAAACCGATGCATTCATTTGTCGAATATGTGGGTTCTTGAAAGCTTGGGACATGCTTTCAGTATATATTCAAAATGACATCTACACCTTAGCTGTGCTTTCAGACGGCAAGTACCATTTATCTACCTCATAAGAACGGATCATCAACTGAGAATTGTTCTTCTGAAGTGCTCCCCAGGCAGCTTTGCTAAGATTTGCTGAAGTTAGCAAGAACCAACTGCATTCATGAGAGAGTTTCAGAAATTGGCATGAGAGAAGGGAAAATTAAAAGCTTCCAAAATCATGATAAATTCTTACGCCAGTTTTTGGCCCTTGTATCGTGTGTATGTCTTGATATGAGGCATTGCACGACTGAAACACCAAAAACCAAAGTTTTAACATCCACAACACTAATAGATATTTTCTAGCTCAAACTTCACCAGGGGTGAAAGAGATTTACCAGCGGCCAGTATGGCTTGCCTTCCACTTTGCCCAGCAATTCTTCAAGAATCCTTTTTCCACATTCTTAAGTGGACTTGGAACAGCACTTCCAGCTGCATAACCCTGGAGAATAAGGTAGAGTAACAAATGCAAAACAAACTCCATTCAACAAGAAATATTATTCTTATTCAACATCCGCTGGCAACACTAACAAGTTAGTTTAAGGCCTAATGCTAACACTGAGAAGCTCTCAAACATGCAGTTTATCAAATAGGAAGGCATTAACAGTATTCTCTGCGCTCTCACCAAGCCACCAAGATTGAGTTGGACACAACCAAAGGTTTTTTGGAGTGAATTGGTTTCACACTGAATTGATTATATGCTTTTAAAGAGCCATTAGTTGGGAAGCATAAAGATGTTCAGAACCTGACAATGGTCACCGATGACTGTGCAATCATGGAGATGATGCACAGTTAAGAGGCTAACAGGAAAAACCTACTTGATAGTACCTCTAAAGAGCATCTGACATCTTCCACACTGGGCCATATTATTAACGGCTCCCCCAAACCAAGGGGTGCTGTATCTTCTGAGTAACCTGATGACATTGAGGATGCTAGCTCAGCCATCCATTTCTCGTCCAGTGAACCGAGGGAAGAGAACTGCAGTAAGGGAAACATAAAAAAATGAAAAAATACCATCACCAAAAGCAAAATCTATACAACCATTTTCTTCTCTTAATCTAAACAGGAAGGTTCATAGAGAAGAAATGAAAGGTATGACCGCATGCAGAACCACACACGAGAGGACATCGTAGAAATAAAGTATTATAACAAAACGAAATATCATTCAAGTCTGTCACAAACTTCCAGAGAGTAATGAGCATTAACATTCACCCTGAATCACAACATCACTATACACGAGTAAAGGTTCAACAATACCTGATAAACTAGAGGAGATTTCTGAAACTCTTTATTAAAAACACACTCCTGGAGAACAGTACGCAGCTTCATATGTCCCCACTTTTTCAGATTGGAACCAGTATGATATCCAGGGACAGATGCAATTAGTCGGACCTGAAAATCATCAAATAGCTTATATGCTCGACACGAGTATGAGCTAGAAACAAAATAGATTCCATCTGTAACATTATTCCTCCAGGTAAATATGAAATATCACTTCTAAAAAATTAAATAAACAAATAAAATGTTACCCGTGCATTGCTATAATCAAACTTCTTGAAGAAGGTAGAATTGATGTTGAAGTTTCCCAAAGCTGGAAAATTAGCAGTGAACTCAGGCCACTGTAAATATTCCAGAAATGAAAGGCATCATTATAAATATTAACAAATAAGCCTTCCAATCTACTTGAACTTGATTAGTAAGGAAAAACATATGAAAAGAATGATTGACTATTTTGCGTTATAATATCAAAAGTTTCAGTTAGAATCACGTAAGATTTGTATGAAAAGGGAGAAAGTTTTAAATTCTCTATCACACAATAAAAATAAAATTCGCAATGGATAATAACTAATTTCAATAAAAATATTAAGTCTACCAACTTGGTGGCATACAATCATGATAGGAGAAGAAAATCATCAACTAGAGATGGAAATGTATTAGGTCAACTGTAGAATTAAAAACCATATCTGCTAATAACAATTATATAATGAAGGAACCAGTTTTCAGAAATAGAACTCCAGAACAGCAGAGGAAAGACAATCAAACTATCAAGGTCAGAACTGTGTTGCTATAGACCATTGGAAGATTAACAGAACAGTAGTTGATCATCAACGTGTTTTTCACATGTAATTAACACCAAAACCACAGGAATTGCTAAAATTTGGTACCTTCAATGTGCTGAGATAGTCAATCAAGTCATTTTCAAATCCACATCCTTTCTTTGAGCTACTTTGATCTTTCCAAGGGAAATCTTGCATCCATAAACCTTGACTTTTATTGTTCCAGTCAACATATATCAAGTTTGCTGTATGAACAATAACTCTCACTCCTTGAGGATAGACAAGCAGCATTGCCTTCGAATGGTGTGTCCCAAATGAAATGGGTAATGCTGGCTTGTGCAGAATCCAATTGGAAGGCTTGTCTCTCTGAGCATTAATAATTTGAGAATCCACAAGCTACAAGTTGAGCTTCCAATGATAAAAGGGAATAGTTATGGCTATAGCTGACCTTCATAAGCTCCAGCCTGCTATCACTGTCACCATGAATAACCAAGACATTGGGGATTTTTGCAAGTTTTGGACAAGCTACAGCATGCAAGAGGCAGAAATTGTTTTAGATATACCAAAGAAACTATAAAACAGCCAAAAAAAAATCCTCATAATCAAACAACAAAAACTGTACCAAAATGAGATGTAGATAAAAGGATAATGGACATCATAACCAGAGTCCTTACACCATGTTACTTGAGGAACTGAACAGATAGCATCATAAAAGTTAACAGAATTCACCTGAAAGCAACCAATCAATATCTACCATGTAATTTGAGAGGACAGCAAGAAGAACATCCCCCTAGCAATGTAATAAGCAATCAAACTATGCAGTCAAATGGTAGAAAAGTAAAATAATGAATCCACACATAAATTGAATCACTATTATTACCTGAATCACATCCCCTATAGAAACACAATTAGTATTCGCCCAGGTGGGCAAGCCTTGCACTTTCAAAAGCCGAAATGTATGCGGTAAATCATCATTGGAAACAAAAAAATCACGAATAGCCTCAACAAATATCTTCCCTTCAATATTGCCTTCCTCCTCTTCCTACCAAATTCAAACCAAACCCTCAAAAACAAAGCTCTTAAGCAAAATTAAGCAAATTTTTTCAAAATTTTAATACCTTCAACTTGTTAGCTGATTTTGGTTTATATTCGGGACCTTCATTTCGAATTCTCTTTGCAGTAAGTTTTTCGCTTTCTCCATCGCTGTTAGCTTCACCAAAACTTCTCTTCTTTTCACCAGTTGAAGAGGATACATATTTGAAAAAGTGATGACCTGGGATTAACTCAATAATATCACCATTATTAATCGCCGCATTTTCGCGGGAACTCAGCTTCTTTCTCAGCTGGTCGGACCTGACAACCACCGCATTCGTTCCCTCCTACAAAATTCCACCAGTCAACAATCGATCAACAAAGAGAGAGAGAGAGAGAAGAAATGACTAAAAAAAGTAAAAGAATTTACGACGAGTAAATGGGCGGAGCCGTCAGGGGAGGTGGTTAAAGCAATGTGCTTGCGGCTGAGTCTCTTGTCGGGAACAGAAACGTCGCTGCGGCCGATGAAATTGGGACCGTAAAAGAGCGGGAGCTTAGGGAGTGAAGCGTCCTCTTCAAGATTCTTATTTACAGGGACCAAGTACCCAATCTGTTAACAAAATAAACTTAAGTTATCAAAGCAAAAAACCGAAAAAGAGAAATCGTTTCAAAGGGTACCGACCTGAGAGCGAGGCATGACCGAGTAAGTGGAGTTTCTTGGTGCATGAAAGTGGAAAGAAGGAGAAGGAGAGATGGAGATGGAAAGGAAAGCCGGGAGAGGTGACAGTAGCTCGAAGAGAGTAGTTTTGTTCGGGGAACTTGTAACGTAGAGAATAAAAGCCTTCGTATTAAGTTGGCGAGGATTCGCGCACTGCCGAGCGTTGATAGTTTCCGATCCGGAGAAAGGGAGGTGATGCGGTATGACGCTGCGTTTTAATAACGTTACACTTACAGGCCGTGGGCGGTGGCAGTACCGGTACTATTTTCTACATGGCAGATGGTGCTACTCCTCTATACCGGAGTGCACCGCCCCAGGTTAGAGTTTGGCATTAATCGATTTCAATCAAATTGATTGAATTCGAATTGATTTACTTAATTTTAATTTGATATATAAAATTTATAACTGAATTAATTAAAATATCGATTTATATAGAATATGACAAAGAAATTGCATATTCCAATAGAATTAGATATCAAAATCAAATGATGTCTGATCAGGTTCATCAAGAATGATAAAGACAACCCAATTACCATCAGTTATATTAGCTGCACGGTCCCATGTGCTGACCAGCAATTACTGGAGCAATTAAGGCCAATGACCACAAAACCAAAAATAAATAAATAAAGCCATCTAAAATTTTTATATGGGAGTTTACAAACGATACATTCAGTACTCTGCTACAAGTATTAGATTTCAGTGTTACGTATCAAACTTGGTAATCAGCAACAACGGTCTTCGCTGCCTTCGGGTATAAATGAATCCAAAATCAACTATATTAGTAAAATGCGGTTCTTATCTTGTATGTTTATGAAGTTTCGGCAAACACTCTCAAGTGAGCAATGGGATAATATCCTCCTATCTTCTGCGCTTGTATTCTTTTCGCATTTCTGCTAGGTAGCTCTCTAAGTTGGACTTAATCCATAATCGTCTCTGAATAAGATCCTCCTTGGTTGATTCATCTAATAAACGCACAAGATCTAATTTAGTAAAATACTAATTTAAGAGAAACGGTGGATAATAACAGCACATAGAAATCAAGAAGTATATGTGGTAGCTCCAGGAGGCCTTGACTCAAACCTCAGAAGGAATGATGTATCCTTCTGATGTGGTAGCAAATGTTTGATGATATGAAGTAATTCATCTAACTAGGTAGTATAACAAAAAAAATTCAGTAATTACTATGATGGTCAGCACATATGACTACCTCGATAAGCCATTCTATGATTCTATCATCTAGCAAACCTCAGCTAAATCCTAAAAGGTGTATTTTGCCTTTATACAAATTTGAGGAACTTGATTATAGTTACCAATGTTTAGCCATGCATCCAGAGGCACTCTGAGGGAGTTTCTTGTCAAGTAAGATGCATCTTCCCAAGAATATGGACCTCGCTTAACCTTGTATCTCCAGAACCAGCAGCCATACCACAACAATAGCTGGAGAGGCAGGAACTTAATCAGTAACCAATTTCAGGCTGAAAACTAAGGTTGAAGTCTGAGACAAGCATTTTTCTTGCCAATGCAACAACATCAAGCAATCAAACAATCAGATATATCTAGCATAGTTAGTATTCAATAATCTTAATCAGAAATTGTAGCTATTCTTCGATTAAAAGCTGGAATTCTAACCTTGCCAATAGTATAAGGGAGAAGAATGAAACGGATGCCAATTAATTCCCAGATGGAGGGCTTTTCAGCTCCCTTTATGTCTAGCTCGAGCTCTTTGCTGAGATCTTCCTCCTTTTTCCTGCCATGAAAGATGTAGATCATATTGTTAGAAAAAAAAAAAAAACACATCATTGTAGTCGAATTTCATGGGTCATGAATCAAATGAGTATATACTTGTCCATCTGCTTGTTACTCTTCTTCTTATTTGTGGTTCCTCCACTGCGTTCAAGTTCCAATGCCCGCAGTCTGTTTTTGTAAGCAGGTGTCTTCTTGACCATAGCTACGGCCTGAACCCAGAAAAGGAAAAAGGGAAAATGAGAGAGAGTAAAATATAGGGAAATAAGCCTTTCTATCTGAAAAATAGGTAACACATATTATAAAGTTAAGCAGCACTTTTCAAAAAAATAGTTAAGCAGCAAAATTCTCTTATCATGCTGTTCTGTATTATCTACAAGGCTGATTGGGGGAGGAGGGAGGAGTTGAATCTTTAGCTTTAACTCTCCATTGGAGGGGTAACAACCACTAAGCGAAGCTTGAATGGTATATCTTTCAAAGCTATGACAAGTGCTATTCTAATATACAAAGAAGTCACATAGCTAAAAGTTCAGTCTTCTGAGTGATACTCATCTACCAATATTCACCACATCCATCAAATGTAATTACATTGACATTCAGAAACAACCAAGTTTAGACAATGCTTGATAGTAACACACCTGATTATACCTAGTCCACCGATTTAGATATTGAAATGCCGAAAGAATGAGAAGAAGACCAACCAGGACAGCACGAGGATCCTAGAATGCATGAATATTCAATGGTAAGTAACAAAAAAATGCAACACCCCCAGGCTTCACCAGAAAGAATACTTAATAACCAAATATTAAAATAATTCTCACCGTTTTGTGACCGTAATATGCACGATAGTAACGAGCTGTATTGTAAAATACCTACATGGACAAGAAAAATTAACGATTATCAGTAATTCTATTAACATGCAAGGTCAATCGTGGTGAAATCAAATGATTCATGATGATAACAAGATTGACAAAGCCACATGAAAAACACAATTTACATATTACAATCTTAATTTATTCCTAGGACACATTATACAATATCTTACCTCCTCCGGATGTGCAATTGCATAATCATATTGCTCCCTTGTGGCTTCATCTTTCAAAATCTGCAACCAAAAAAACATTAACTTGTTATCAGATTTTAGGTAAAATGAAAAAGGGAAATCACTAGCTTTCACAGAACTAATAGAACAACAAATCAGTGAATCTCAAACTCATGTAATTTGAAAGACCAAAGAATTGAAGTTACCTCATAAGCATTGGCAATTTTCACAAAGTGCTTTCTCGATTCCGGATCTGGATTCTTATCCGGGTGACTAGACAGGAAAAAAGAACATACTTTAAGATACAATTAGATCAATGGAGAGATTGAAGAAGTCAAAAACAAAGAAAGAAGCTTACTATTTCAAGGAGAGCTTGTAGTAAGCTTTCTTAATCTCCGAGGCATTAGCATTTTGAGAAACCCTAAAAAATACGAAGATAAAGTTAAAATTAGCAGAAGCTAAAACATAAAATGAACGGGGAGAGGTGAAAGTGAGGGAGCTGACCCTAGAAGATCATAGCAATCGTCTTCGTCACAGTAAATTGCGACCGACGGCCAGATGAGGAGAAATAGAACGAGCGTCGATAGGACTGTGCACCACCGAATCGCCGCCGGTGGCGCCATCGTCTTCATCCTGTTTTCTTTTCTTTTTTTTCGTTCTCTGGTCTCGTTCGAAATGCCTTCACAGTTAGAAGCTGAAGACAGACTTCTCTCATGTAATTACAACAATACCCCCTGATCTGACTCAATTAAAGTCAACTATTCAAACTTCAGGGCCTCCGGCGACTCTTACCTCATGCCCAGCTTGGTTTGGGCTTTAAGGCCCATAGTAAGGCACTTTATGGGCTAAAATGGGCCTATTTAACCCACTTTCTTTATTCTTCTTCATCTCTAAAAAACCAAAATTACCTTCATCAAAAAATAATTATTAAATAGAGACGTTTTAAAAATATTTTAACCGAAACTCTTGTATTTAATATTACATCCGAATATTATAAATATCTAAGTAAATTTTGGAATTGTTACTTGATTCTGTACTTGTTGATGTCAATATCAAGAAAATGGGGTTTGTTATAAGCATGTGATGGAAAAAGCATGGGTAACCAATGCATGGCAGCCACACAAATGAAAGTTCAACGGAAACATACAGAATGTTTCAACAAGTTGCCGTGGAAAGACACACAAGTAATGAAAGCATCACTAACTGTACTTAACTATTCTATTTTTCTCGATTCCTTAATGATGACTCTTCTTTAATTTCAAGGGAGATTAAAATATAAATTTCAATTTTGTTAATTATTTTTTATTATAATTAAAGAAAGAGATATTCGAATCTTACTTTTTAAGTATAAAGATAATATATCAACTAATGAACCAAGTGTTCGGATGTAAGATTTTGTTAATTATTTAGATGATGATAATATTGTCAAGTGGTTGTATTATGAAATCTAGAACAAACATATCTGAGATTAAGCAATTAATGTATTTTTTCCCTTAGTGCTAGAGATTGAAGTGTTCCTGTCATCAAGTGGGATTTGTACCTTTTCTATCATTCTAAGGTTTTCTTTTTCCCTTCTAAAATAGTTACCTAACCATGGAGAATAAGGTATTTCTATCATTTTAAGGTTATGTTTGATATGTTACTGGGACTATAATTGTTGAGAATATAATTTTGTAGTATTTAGTCCGATAAGGGAAAATGATGATTACAAAGAATGTAATTATTGAAAAGATTATATTATAGTGTTTAGTTTATAAACACTTTATTGAAAATGTAATGTAATGTAAATTAATAAATTATCCTTATGTCTAAAAAAATATAAATCGAATAAAGTTATGATTTTTAATATAAAATTTGACATTTCAACTTTAAGTAATTAAAATATTAAATAATAATATTAAAAAATAACATAATATTTTTATATTAATTATTTAAATATAAAATTATATAAAATTACTAAATATTTATTTTTACCTTAAACTTTTAAAAATTAAAAATAAAAAACAGTATCCAAAGAAAAGTTTATGGATAGATAGAGAATTCTATTGATAAATTATGCTATTTGTCTAGATAGATAGGTGTCTATTGCCAAAAGTTTAAACATAAGCTATGGATGACACGTCTGACGCTTTCTTTCTCTAACCCTAAATATTTTTCTCTCAATTTTTGACATAAAAAATATAAATTTTTTTCAAAACATTTTCAAATTTCTTAAAAATTTGAATTTTCATAAAACTCAAGATCTTAATCTCTCTAATTTTTAGATGTTAATGAAGGCTATCTTAATTATTGATTCTAATTTACCATGATTACCATTTCAATTGATATGATTTGATTGATTTGGTTATTCTAATTGATTTGATTGTAATTTTTCTTAATTATAGGCTTGATCTAGGGAATTCTCTTTTATTGCATAGATTATTTTTCCTTTTGTATTGACAATGAAACCTGTATATAAACCCCTAGTGGTTTCTCAATAAAATTATCCAAAAGAGTATTCAAACTCTTTAGATGTGGTGATGAAATTTGATTCAAATGTACTGTGACTAGCTACCTTTTTTACAGGCCACAAGAAGAAGGAAAAGAAGGCAAGGTGAGAAGAAGGAAAGAAAAGCAAGAAGGAAGAAGGAGAAGAAGGCAAGAAGAAGAAGAGAAGAGTCGGAAAGTTAAGTTAAAAAATATTTTTTTTTATTTTTTATTTACTAAGGGAATAAAAATTAACTTTCTTTTCAACCCATTGCAATTACATTACTGAAGGATTACTTTCTATCTTTAAAACATCAATTAAATACTGTAATGTGCTTTCCTGTAATGTCCCTCCCTTACCGTCAACCAAATGCCCCTCAAAGCTCAGACAAGTTGAACATCGAAAATAAGAGACCCCAGCAATGCACATGTCTCGAGCAGATCGGCATGGGAAGTGGCTAACCCGTCGATGGCGAAAGCTAGCGCCACGTCTCGGAACCACGACGTTACATATTAAATTTGAAAAGGCCGAATCTTTGGGAGGGGGGCTCTTCATGATTGAGTGGGAGTCTAATTGAAAACAACAGTCCAAGATTTCGTCAATCATAAAGAGGCAAAAAAAATGTGGGTTAGGAGCGAACGGGGAGGGCTCCCGACAACGACATGACCTACTAAGCCCATCCCACCACTCAACCTTTACACCCTGAGTCGTCGACCGCACCGCCCACCCCTCCAACGATCAAAGTCTTGAGAGAGACTGATCCGTTTTTTATTAAGAAGATGACCACAAACCGTACTCCATGTCCAGCTCGAACCATTTTGCACCTTCCTTTAATTTTCCATGGACCGTCCATGTGGACAGGGGTGTGACATTAATAATGGAGGCAAGAACTGATCAGTTCCTTTCCAATAATCAGAGAGTGCATGGCTGAGTACCCTCATTGCAGTGCAGATTACTGCATATGTTTGTTGGTCCTTGAAAGAGTAGGGCAAGTCGTGGTATATACTCGGATGGTATAGGACGCTAAAGGTACGTAGCTTTAGACAACTCAACCTCTGGCCCGTTACAACTACGACTGCTGCTCCTCTTGCAGATGAATCACATGGTTTCTTAATTGAAACTTTGGACCTTATCAATATGCTTTGGCTTCCTCAGCCTACCACACTAGCTAGCTTGTTGTGGACAACACAGACAATATGTGCTTGCAAAGTTTACTATAGAGTTGGAAAATCAATAAGTTTAGATTTAAATATTGGTCTATATATGTTGTTCCCACTCTTTATGAAAGAAATATCTTACAAATATCTCACTGTATGTAGGTCCGATCCTCTAAATATATGAAATAACTTTAAAACAAAAATTAAACGAATTTAGACAAAGACATGGTATCTGCATCATGCATTGCAGGTAAGGTTCCAGAACCAGATATATATATATATATCCAGGAAGTGCACTGCCTCACCATCCTTATCCTCTCCCAGCAGTCCTGTCACCCTGTGACTCATTTTAGTCACAACACATGAGCACCACAAATAATGTTATGTGGCCAAAATGTTGCAAAGCACTATACAAATATATGCAACTTGGGTTATGTAATTAGGCATAATTTTTGATCAACCAGTGTCAAGAACTCCCCAGGAGCCTGCTTGAACCCCCCTGCAAGCCTAAAATAACATGATTACAGAGCTGCTACACACCCTTTGCTCGACACACCTGAATGGAGAATCGAGTGAGGGTGTAGATGACAGCAGTGGGGCCAATGGTGCCTTTCGCAGTTCTCTTTTTATTCTATCAGGAAAACGTGACTGATATTACCAGGGGCAGCAAGCCATGTTGCTTTAATTGCAACGTTTGGTTTCTTCATAAAGAACACAAGATTTTAGACTGTCAAGAGAAAGTGATCAGTGTCGAATTGAATTTAAAAATAACACATATTAACAGTATAATAGTATAATAAATTTGAGGGATCTATTGCTTAGACCTTTGCCTTGAAGGATTTTGGGCATGAATCCTTCTCTGGGGATCCTGATGTCCTTTTATATCAAAGCACTGCACATGGAGCGCCCCCCCTTGATTCTCAGGTCAATCAGCTGTATCTTATGCTGGAAAATGGATACATGCATGTGACTCTACATTGTGCTAGAAGTATGTATTTCTGTGCCGACATGGACTAGCTCACGGAGATTACGGTTTTCATGATTGGAGTATTGGACCCAGAAGAAATCATGTGCCTTGTTCTTCAGATTTGCTGATGATCAGACAGAAAAACAAAATTAAGATAGGAAAATCTCATCGATGCAAAACGAAACCTTCAATTGGTGTACATTCAGCCAAGTATCTTTCAGCATGGCTGTACCAATTTTCAGTCACAAGTTGCAACAAGATTTCATTTGGTTCTCGTTCTTCCAAGTCTCACCATACCTTTATCTCTCTATCCTGATCACTCTCATTATCAAAACAGTAGGAAGAAGAGAACCCACTTTTCTCTGTGCTTATGCTAAATTACGTTTGAAAAAGGCGAAGAAAGGACAGTGAGAGCAGTTGCATTTTTCTGATAGTAGCATAAGACGCGTGTTCTTCTCTAAAGCATAGGCTCTCAATCCGTCTGTTTCTATTTCCTAGTAATAATTAACACCAATAATTATAATGATTGACGGGGTATCTTTTTCCCATAAAAATATCTGCCCTCCAATAATCTTCCTCGACTACACAACTAAAGCATTCGCATACCTCTCCTTCAATCTCTTTGCTCTTCTATATATACATGTAACCATTTAATTTCCTTTCTCTCAAGTGTCTTCAACATTTACTCTTGTGTCTTTAGCTCCTCTAAACCCTTTTGATAGCAAGGTCTCAAGCTTTCCTTTTCCTTGTAAGTATGACTAGCTACATCTTTTGCCTGTCCTATCTCTTCATTTCGATCTCTTGTCTCTTGTTTTCCAAAAAGTACAGAAAATTACCTACATTAACATATAACATATAAGAGAAGCTGAAAACTACTGCTACACGTAGACATGTACGTGCAGTGACGTGCAAGTGGTCACCTTTAAATTTTTATCACATCCCTTAATTACTGATATTGATCAGCCTACTCTTTCATCTTTGATGCTTCAAGAATCAACTGAAAACCTTATTCTGTTTCTTCTTCTTTTGTCCTAATGGTGATCATGCAGTCAAATACATGAGCTAGAATTTAAAGCACCTAGTCTGGTGTGACATTGGGCATTCAAGGAAGCATAAATTGGTGGACACTCATAATCTTACGGTAAACATTAACCAGGTAAGACAACAGAAAAAAAACTAATAAAGTGTTCAATTCTAAGTTTTTTCATTACTGTCTATTATTCGATTTCTCTTTTCTCTTACGTTAATTAACTAAATTATTAATTGTACGTAAAAATCCTTCCAACAATACTAGACGTGTTTTTAGGTCAATATTAGTTTTATTTTATTTATTAGTAAAAAATAATTTTATTTTAAAATTTGTTAGTAAAATCTAAACCTTAAGGAATAAGCAGAAGGTTTTACATTAATTTGGCATCCTAGTTTGCTCATGGTGATGAAGCTATATGTTTGCCAATTGCGATTGACAAGATGTAATCCGAGTGGTGTCAAAGTTGTCTGCTAAACATCTGGTATATGCGACTGCACTACCAATCAGTGAGTAAGGGGCAAAGACCAAATTTCACGACAATTCTTACATTCACTCTCTATCTCTCTCCCTCGTCCTTCCTGTTCTCTCCTTTCCCTGTCTGGCTGTCTCTATCTCTTCCTATACTTGAGACAAAAAGGACAAGATCATTATAGTTGAATGAAATCGAGTGTCTTAAATATAACTTATTGAGAGAGTATCTATAATAGTAGCTACTAGGAAATGCATAATACCGTCACCCCATCTGATATTTCGAAATAAATCATATGACCAAATAGGATTTATTAAATTTTTTATACAAAAATAAGTATGTGTTCCGAATTTTAAAAAAAAATTATTCGGGTTCTTTTTTTTGATTTTATCTTATCCAAAACTTTAAATTTTATATATACAAATCATGTATTAAATTTTACTTTATTTTTTATTTGTTGGCTTGGTAGAGAAAGAAAAGGAAACATCCCATCTTGAGCGGGTCGTTGTCTTGGCTGATTTTAAAGCAAGGAAAATGAATGCACTTCAGGACCCAAAACTTAATTAGTGTTTTTTCAATCAAATATGTCGACATGACCAAAGTCTTGTTTTTCTATTCTACCAAAGTCAAGAATTCAATGGAAACCTAAATGGAAAAATCGTGCCCTTGTCGTCTTACGTATGCAAATCCATGTGACCCAAAATAGATATTGAGAGATTAAGTTGGTGAGTGGTGAGAATGAAAATTTTAACTCCAAATAAATAATCATAATAGTGAACATGTGTGCACAGATAAGTTTTTATTTGTCTGATAAAGATTACCATCATGTATAATTTCAAAATCTCTATGAAATTTTTTCGTTATCAAGAAAAAAAAGCAAGAACAACTGATTAGATTGATTTTTTTGAAAAGCTGATTAGATTGATGATTAATAGGATAATAAAGTGGTGTAGAATCTAGAGTTTAGGCCAATGGGGAAAATGGGATGTTGAAATCCCATTCAATCTTGGTGATGCCAATGGCCACGATACCGTACTGGTTTTATGATCAAGGGTGTGATGGAGGCATAAGCTTAGCCGACATAGAAAAATATGGTCCCATTCAATGAAAGCATTTTTGCATGAGTCTCTTGTAGCTGTCCCATTTATTCATTGTTACTTTACACTATTTACATATTCATACAATACGAATATTTGATTCAAATGATTAAGGTATGATTTTCTAATCAAAAGATAAAATTTAAAATGCACTTTTTGTTTCAAATCGAAATCCAAATATATCAAAATTCATTTTGAAAATGAAATACCGACTTGTGCATCGAAAATATCTATTAGCAGTAGTTATTTAGAGACTAACTAAAACTAGATTCTCAACTTTTTGTCACAGCAAATGTTAAGTGGTTGCGTAAACAAGCATGCTATTGAAAATTCCCAAGTCCAAAAGAGATTTAACCTTTCCATCGATAGTGGGAATTCATCTATGATTTCAAAAATCTATGATTTCATTGGAACATGGATGATGGGATTAGTAAATAGATTAATTAAAGGGAGAGAAACAAGGAAAGTGCATGTAGGAAAGAAGAATGTAGGAGACGATGGACATGAGTACAACTAGAGGGCACAATGAATTCAGATGGCTCCAAAGGAAAGGTGCCGTAGCAAGAAGACATGCAATCCAACTTTGTCCCCAAGGTCCAAAAACGTGAGAAAAAGGAAACGCCATAACGTTTTCATCGAACGGAAACAAAGAAAAGCCTGTTGTCTCGATCCCTCCTCTGTTTCCATCTACCCTTCCCCCATCACGAACAGTAACATACAACAGCTCATAATTTACCTATTTTTAACCCTTTCCTTTTCTCTGCCTCAAACCTGCTTTTGATCATCAGCCACTAGGTATGGACTCGGACCCACCATTCCACGAGACTTACAAGACCCTCTTTGCCAACTCCATCATCGAGTCCTCTCCAAGCAACGACGACCCTGGCTACGCGGTCGAGGAACGGGAGCTTCCCTTGATTGATCTAAGCCGACTAGGCCTCGGCTGCGAGCTGGAGAGAGAAGGGTGCAAGAAAGAGATAGCTAGGGCTGCGCACGAGTGGGGTTTTTTCCAGGTCTTAAATCATGGGATTTCCAGGGACATACTGGAGACGATGAGAAACGAGCAAGTGAAAGTTTTCAAGCAGCCTTTTCACAACAAGTTCAGGAATTTCTCCGCTGGTAGCTACCGCTGGGGCACACCCACAGCTACTTCCCTAAAGCAGCTATCATGGTCCGAAGCTTTCCACATTCCCATGACCGATATCTCAACCCCTGGCGGCTTCGACACTACTCTCAGGTATTCACACAAAAGCTTCCTCCTTATTTAATTACTTCTTCGTTTCTTCCTTCTCTTGACAAATAACAAAGACCTAAGAGAGCATAAAAAATCAGCTTGTTTTTTAGCAATCATGTCTTTTAAGGTTAAGACAATTAAGCCTTTTGTTTTATCCATTAGTAGTTGTATGTATAACTGCTAATGTTGCGTGTCGGCATGTAATTAAAGTTTAGTAGTTTTTTCCTTGTTGTAACGACAAGACAACGAGGATCACTCCATAGTCTTTTCCATGGTTGTTCATTTGGTGTAACATTATTAAGCTTTTCCCTTATATTTAGAAGCATTAGATTCCTCTAAACAGGAAAGAAGGTTTTCTTTAGAACTACCAACAGATCAAAAGCTTCCACAAAATCATAGTCCTAGTTTTGTAGTCAAGAGTAACTACAACATCAACGCAATTGGGTTTCCATTGTCCAATGATCTCCTCATAAAAACTCAAACTTAAAGCTTAATTAGGGAACAGATCGGGAAGTGAAAGCAATTGTAATCTCAAGCAGAGTCTTGGTTTTGGTATGTCATTAGACTCGCTTCGATATTTATATAATCTTTTCTTCCATCAATATGCAAATATACTTTTCAAAGGGCATATGTAAATAGATAATTCGGGTTGGAACCAGACTGAGGTTACAACTTGCCCTTTTGTCTTTGATGTTTCTTAAGGCGCATCCTATACACGTGCGTCAAGCTTTCTTGATTAGACGTCATAAAGCTTTTATAATTAGTAATATTGATAAAAAGGTGCTGTTGGATGGGATCATGTGTACAAAAATTAAGTAATTTTAATAAGTCTTACTATTTATATAAATTGACATGTTTATTCTTTTTTATCTTTTAATAATCTTTGGGCACTTTACTACTATCATATTAATAATTTCTTCCTAAAAGGTGGTTTTATTGACCTCATCACTGACATAACATTTCAAGTCTCTGCCTTCGTTGCAAGAGACTCTCATGGCAAAAACAGTCAGTGAGGGTGAAATCGATAAATTATTTATATAAGTGTATATATATAATATTTAGAAATATGGATTTTTAAGGAATTAATTTCAACTAAATTGAAATTAATAAAGCTTACTTTTTTGTTTTTGTGTTCATCTTATTTCCGTCCTAAGAAAAATGAGGTTGATAATCGAATGCCATGTATGTAGCCCCAAATATAGAAAATTGATCAGGTTCTAAACTTGGGTCGACCACTATATCTCCAACCAAGCCATATCCACTAAACCAAAAGTTAAGCTAGGCAGACTAGTTTCAACAGAGTCAATTTTATTTAAAGTTGTTTGGGTGGTGTAGTTGGTTATCACGCTAGTCAATTTTATTTTTTGGGTTTTTTTTTTTTCTTGGTGCATGGTTTTTTTTTTTTTTGGTTCTGCTTCTCTCTGTCAATTCTCATCCTCTCAGTGCGACTCAGCTTTCTGAGTTATCACATGTAAAACAACAGGAACCGCAGCTCCGTACCTAGGCAAATGTGTTTGGTGTCATCGTCTTTATGGAACGGTCTCAGTAGGCTTGCCCCATTAGATTTAGATAGACCAGTTCAATGGCTACCATACCTTGTGGTCATGACTCACGGTGGTTGTGACAGGGGTAAAAACTTAAAAACAAAAGAAAAAAAAATACGGTGCAGCCTGGGAAAGAATGGTCTGAAAACTCGCTATCAAATCATTCAACGTACACTTGGATTTCCTTTTACCTTGCATGAATGTTGGGGTCTTCTCTCTCTCTCTGGCATCCATCAGCCATCATTGGCACCGTCTCACGTGAATGTCACAAATTAAGAAGATGAGCTGGAGCACTTTGTCAAACCAGTCTGACAGCATAAAAAGCTTGATGTGGCCTCATCAAAAGGGGTCCCCCTTTT